CAAATTAATCTGTCGCCTCAAATTTTCTAAATCCATGTCCAAAGGTACATCTTTAATGACACCCTTTTTGGCAACCATATATCTCGGTATGTATGCGGTTAGTCCTTCGCTTTGGAGTATGGGGCTGTCCAACACTTTATTTGCTTCTAGTCTTCCTAAGAAGGTCACTTCCCAAATAAATCGAGCGTACTGTTTAATACATTGGAACCTGATCTTGTGTTTGGACATGACATTGAAGATGTCAAATTGTCCCCACTTCTTCACCTTTTCCCTATCCTTGGTTGGGGAGTCAGGCTTCTTGGCCTTTATGTGAATGCTATACGGCCCTTTATCATACGTATTAAAACGTAAGTCGTTGAATTGCCCATTTCTATTGCTCTTGAAACCTTCTCCTAGCTCTTCTTTTCCAAAGTTTGTATCTTCATTTCCGAGGTCTCGTGCTCCGGATTCTACCGTTTCCGTTCTTCCTTCTTCAGCCCTTTCCTGGATTTCATTCTGATTCTGTATCTCTTTGGACTTCTGATGGCTATTTGTGCTCTTCTTTACGACATCAGTTACCAGTTTCCTTGGTTTTTTACGGCTTCTAACGGTGCTAAATTGTGCCATCAGTTCCTCTTCTGACGACAGTTCAGGTCCTGTTTTTCCTGCCACCCTCTTCTTTTGTGTAACCGTCTTATTGTTTATCTCTGCATAATCCACATCCTCCATCACCACTTCTTCCCCTGCTTCGTCGTGTATTCCTACCTCTTCCATTGTATCTGCTTCCATTTCTAGGCCACTCATTTTATATTGTGAGAGTCCCCGGTCGGAAGCACGTGTGCTTCCGGCCGTTGTGTTTTTGCTCGAACCCCGCACTATACGTACTCGTAACTCGCGATAAGGAAACCAAAACTAATTCTGCAATATACGGAATCTTACTACTGTTGTCTAACACCACCGTATTAGAGTAAAATCCGCACTTTCTTCACAAAAAACGAACGTAATAACACTTAACCTCACTAGCGTTCTCACTCGAGATTTGTACAATTAGAAATTCTACACGCTCTGCCATCTTTTGGCAATCATATTAAGCTATCTGTATGATTGCTGCATTCACTAGCAAATAATATGGTATGTGTTCTGATAGCATGTGTCATTTTCAGTGTAGCAAAATGGCTTCCTCACACAAGGTGAAACTTTCTTCATCCAGTAAATAGAGTTCCATTTAAGAAAGTGTTTTAATTCAACAAAATAATGTTCTGAATGGTGTGCTCCCCCATTCCTCTCCAAGTGAACTCAGTTCACACAGGTCATCATGCCATAGTGAAAAAGGCAGTGAATTCGATCCCTACAGGTTCTTATTACTTTGTAATGTAGAATTGGATTTCATCCAGTAGTTTCATCACTAGTAAGGTACTAAAGGAATTCGGATATCTTGGGAATGTAATCTACTGTTTCTAACCTGATTTATAGATGTTTTTGCAGGAGTAAAAAGGTAAAGTTGTCGCAGTACTTTACAAGCACCAAGCCATGAAAATGTGATTGATTTGATTGATCAGTAATCTGTCAGATGACAGGTCCACAGTCTCTTCCAAAACAGTTCCTCCACTTAATGTGATCTTCTGTTTTTGGAAAGAGACTATCCAGGAAAAGTGATAATGTGGTAGTTTTTCCATTTGCTTTCCACATCGCAGTACAACAGCCGTTCAAACCACTCTGGTCACGCCTGTTGCTATACGAACTTGAACCATCTCGAGCATCATTTGTTCTGTGCTTCAAGTCGCTGCTGATGACGCTGCTTCCGGCATCAGTTTTTGGTTTTCGGTGTCTCTCTTCGTCTGATGCCTACCCTTTGACCTGTCCAGCAAGGGAGGCCCTGCCAGTAGCTACGCTACCGCTGGTATAGCTCTGAGGGTCCTTGGCATACTCAAACCCCCTCACCACGATAAGGTGGAGACACCAACGAGGGGGCATGAAAATGTATAAGGGAGTAAATGTATAGCCCCACACATTTTTAACCTTGGCAATAGCGAGAGGTGAGTGGTCAGCTTCACACCCTGGCCAATTTGCCCCTGGGGAAATAGTGCCTGGTACCCCTTGGATGGGAGGCTGGATAGGCCAAAGAGCCGGTTCTCCCCCCATCAGGAATCCAACCCTGACTCTCTGGTTAACTAGCCCATAGCCTAGTCACTATACTGTTTTAGTTATTCTGCCTGTCTTTTCAAGAGCTTGATGTTCAGTTACTTTAATTCTTCATGCAGTTATAAAAACAAATACAGGTAAGTTAGGGAATTTCAGAATTTAGAAAGAAAAAATTGTTTTGGTGTGTGCTACATATATCCTCATTTATATGTATTAATATAAGAGTGTAAGTAGTTGTAGCACATACTTAGATCATGTGACAGGCTCTGCAGAATGAAAACTGAAGAATGTTAGATGTTTATGAATTTTGTAATCTAAACAGATTAAATAGTATTTTTAGAGTAGTTAAATTAAGAGGCTACAGTGGGGAAAATTTCATAAAGAATTTTTATGGGGAAACTTTTTAAAACGAGCTGTGTGAAGGATGTGGATTTTAGGCTGTGAAAGTAAAAGCTGGGATTGAATGGGCTGAGGATCATGTCAAAGGTTTGTTTTTGGTGTTAGCATATTCAGTGTTTGAGTTAGAGACTTTATTAACATTTACTGTTTTAAGACATGAAAAACTGATTACTTGAACGCCTGTGTCATGGTTCAAACATAATTAGAATGAATACATTCAGAAGTGCTGGTAATTTCTGAAGGGGAACTGTCTCGAAGCAAGTCAGTGTAGAAATGTCTTGTGAAGCTTGTTTTAAAGCTGTTATGAGAATAACATACATTGCTGTATACTGTGTATATTGTTACTTTATTGAACAAACAAGCCCCTAAATGCAAGCGACTGCTGGAAAAGACAATATCATCTCTGTATTCACTTATGATGCACAAAGTACAGTAACCAAATTTGCAGAATATTCTCATGAGAAAGATTATATGCAGTAATTCCTAGATTATTGTGGTACATACTGTAACCAGTTATTTGTCTCTAATTTGTTTAATTAGGGCCCACATTAAAAGCAGTGCCTTCTGAAATATCGCATACACATTGAATTAATTAAAAGCCAACTGCAAACATTTCTTGCTATTGCCTTCCAACAAGGTTGGTCCATTTTGCCCAATTGTGTAACCATAATAAGAGTGATATTTCTGGTTGGTTTCTGAGTCATTTAAATATACCATATTAAATGGAGGCATTGAACATCAAATGAAATGAGTGAGTGATTATGTATAATGAATTCTAAAGGAAGAGAAAATGGCATTGTCCTGATGTTCATTAAAAGTAGTTGACACAATACACTTTCTAGAAGGTACTACAAAAGACATCTGGTGTCTTGGTTAAGACTTTTTGTTAAAGTTTTGGTATTTAACAGTGTTGACTATATAGCATTGATGTTGGGACTCTAACTGCTGTTTCGCCCAGGTATAAGTTTGATGCATTAGTTCTTAATCAACCTACCTACCTACCTGTGACACATCAGTACTTCATACAGCACTGCAGACATCAGTGTACAATAATAACAGTTGTGCTAATTTAAAATTATTATCTGGCTTCTCTTCATCCATCAGAACAGATTTGCATTTTCTGACTCTCTGTTAATGACTGCCAGTATGTGCAGCAATGTACTACATGTCAGTGCACCGTGTTCCCATAATCTCATACAGCATCATTACAATTTTGTTATTGTGTAGGGATTTTATTCTTGGCCAATTTCACGATGCTTTTGATAGCTGAAACTATGTGACATCAAATGATGGAATGATTAGTGAATAATGAATTAGACAGGATGTGGAAGGAGGCAGTAATGGCCTGGTTCGAAGTATACTAGTATTTGCATTGAAGAACTCAGGAAAACCACAGAAACCCTCAGTCACAATAGTCAGATTCTGGGCCAAGATTTTAACTCAGAGCCTCCAAATGTGAAACAGGAGTGTTACATACTTTACCACGTTGTCACTTAACTACAGTGTGCCATGATATTTGTAACAGGAAGAGGAAAGGAGGGAGGGAGGGAGGGAGAACATTAAGATCCACAGAAGTGCCTTAATATTGTGTCTTTGGTATCTGAAAATATTTTGTCAGTGTACATTACTGTATAGCTCAAGTTCTGCATACAGAGTAGTGATACAGTGTTGCCCATTATGTATTTAAAATTAATAGTTTTCAAGTTAGAAGCTAGATGCAACCTGTGGTTGGAGATGGACAAATTTTCTCTGCCATGTCCAAGAATACTGGATTATCAGTTCATGATGTTAGAGTCAACTGAATTGTTCTTACAGAGTTCCACAATAAGGGGTTGGCCTATTTTTTGTGGATTTAAGTGTTTATAATTTAACAAAAGGATAACTGCCAAAATCTTTGTCAGGCTGAATTTAGACTTTTATGCAGTCTATATTTTTGTATTATTTTTGAGCCCCATGTTGAAACATCAGTAACTTCACCACTCACTGGAATCTAGATAATGTCAAAGACTGTGTCATTACTTCATGTTCTTGTGCTGCCAAGATGGTGTTGTCACCAAATATATATGGAAGCTTTTATATATACTGTTGCTCTTCATATTATGTTTCTTTTTATAATAGTATGTTTTAGAAGTATAACCTATGGAACATAGAACTGAGATCCAAACTTCATAATTTATTCCTTTTTCTAAAACGGAATTTATACTACTTTGAAATGGACAATTTTCTAATAATTAAATAAATATATAGAGAGAGATTTGTAGAAGTTATTTCATTAGTAGAACATTCTTGAATGATGATGATCCCTGAATAGTATATATAAAAGGCTATTGAACTTCAGCTTGTGATTGCTTATTTTTAATTTGTGTTTGCGACTAGTTAGCAGTCTAATGCACCACCTGATGTATTTAATCAGTTTGGAGACTGACATAAGATGGATTCCCTTTGTTTCTGGGGGAAATCCCACTTTGTCATATTTCCAGATTGACGGAAACTGCACGACTTCTGAAAAATGTGCGCAATGTGTTTACATTCACCAGACGCTCTGCCACACGGGTAAATATGGAAGTGGAACTCTCCCGTAAGTATGTCATAATTATCACCTTGAAATGAATGTTAACACTTTTCAGTGGCAAATATCGGTGAGGGAGAGAGGCAGGTCTGTGTATTATACTTGTTAAACAAGTTAAACCCTTTACTTTCCTCTTTAATTTGTGTTGCCACTGAATTTAGACAAACAGATATGTGCTAAAATAAGGGGAGATTGCTTTGAATTGAAAAATAGTTTCAAATTTGTGGATTTTTATTGAAACATAATGATTCTGAGCCAGTTCTGATATTGCCATTGAAGGGTTTAACACACCATGCTATAAGAAGAAATACACATTTTTACATGATCCACATCACACATACCTTCATCCGCTAAATACTCTACCTTGCTGAACCCTATAATTTCTAGACTTGATTCCTTTTTTAATAAAGGTTAGCAACCTCCAATCACAAGCAGTGCAGTGGACTTTAAATCATTCATCTGGAAAAGAAATAATGTCAGTGTCTTCCAATTACTTTATGGTATAACCTTTTTCAAGCCACTTCACCCCATTTCCATCTAAATACCCTGTACTGAGAATGCACATTAAATTGTTAACAGCTATAATTTCTATTCTCCGTACAAAATGGAACTGTGATCATTGCAGATTGTAATAAAATGTTTTATTTTAGAGGTGGTTTTTAAAGGAGAAAACTGCCTCACATGCTGTTTGTGTCTGCATATATTTCTTTTTAAGGAGTTGAGATAGCTCAGTTAGTATAGCATTGGGCTACGGGCTGGATGGCTCAGGTTCGATTCTTCACAGTGCAAGAATTTTCTCTTCACCACAGCATTCAGACCAACTCTGGAGCCCACCCTCCTATCCAGTGGGTACTGGAGCCCTTGCCCCTGGGGTGAAGTGGCAGAGGTTTGAAGCTGATGACTCACCTCTATTTAGTGCCACGGTCAAGAAAGTTGGAGCTATACCTCCCCTCCCCAGTATGTCTTCATGACATAGTGCTTAATTAATTAAGCACAAGGACAACTTAAATATGCTTTTTTGGATTAACATACAAATTTGGAAGAGCTTTATGGAACTCAGTAGGAAGGTTACCCCAGTTAACGCATTCTTTAAGTCAATATTTTCTGTGATTTGTACATGGAAACTGCACATTTTTGAGATTGCAGTAAAAGTAGCAGTATTTAATGTGTACAGTCTGAGAAAATTGTATAAGATACTAAACTTATCTTGGTTTTGTCAATGTCTTTTTTTCTTGCACTCACTGCCCACGCCCTCCACAAGCAATAAGGCAACAATATCATCAGTTGGATGTATGTAATAAGTCACTGTAGCACTCTTTATAGTGGAAACAGTGTATATCCATATATATACAGTATGTACATTAGTATGGACTTAGATGAAAGATCAGTAGAAAGCAGTGTAGGTTGCTGAAAATTTTGGTGATGAGTAGAGTTTTGAAATACAGTATGCTTTGGTAATGACGTTTGTTTTGCAGAATAGACATTAAGAACACAGTGACTGCACAGTATGTGTTCATTTTGTTGATGAATTATTGAGGCTAAGGATATGATATGGATGTTGAGGGAGATAATAATATGGTGTATGGAAGAACAATTAACATAAATAATAATGTGGAAACTATCAGTTTTCATAAAAAGATTAATTTCGGAAGATAAAGGATATAGGCAAATGTTCATGATAAGAAAACACCAACAGCCTTATAGCTGTTGGGTCTAGTGGTCTGTTACATTCGATTACATCATGATTGGTTCCAAAAATAAGCAATATTGAAATTCAATGTTAAGACAAGTAAGCACTTTCACATACCTGGATTGTAACATCTGTGTAGAAATATGGATTCCAAAATCTGGTATGTATGAACACTGAGGCTTTCAAACAACATTCTCAAAATAGAATTTATCCAGTGATCATCAAGATTAATATTATACAAAGCACCAACTCTTCAACCTATGATTATTGTAGTGGAACATTATATCTCTTTTTTATCTTCATATTTTCTGTAAGTTGTAATGCAAGTTCAGAAAATGTTCTGTGCCATCAAATATAGAAGAATATGGAACATTGGTTCATTTTAAACTTTGAAGTCCTTCATTTCAAAGTGACTCAGTGTTTCACATAACTGAAATGCTTACCATGAGTTCCACAGAATATTTTCAGAAGATATTTACAATGCAATGAACATTTAATGAGATATTTTGAAAATGGGTGTGCATAATAGTAGTCTTGTATGGCCAGCAGTATGAAAAATATCCTGTTGGGCCCTAATTTTATCAAACTTCCACTAAATTCCCTTACAGATAATATTGTCACATGTTGGGTGTATAACGCGACAAATAACTTCACACCTTATTTGATATAGCGAATTTTATTTCACACCTGCTCTTACAATCACACGATTTAGAACTTCACAACTGGCCTACAACTGACTGGTTGACTGACTCCCTGGCTAACTCGTAACTCTCCGCTGGCTAGATTCCAACTCAACTGTCTTTGTAGGCAGTGTAGTTCTCTTATAAACCCTCAGCCGGACAACGGGAAATGCCTCGCTTCCTTGTTGCCTAGTCGCCGTGTTTGCCGATAGCCTGGCAATGCTGTTGGGAGTTGTTTACAGCTACGTAGCAACTGCAGCGTCCCGTGTTACGTCACGGCGGGGAGAGACGGGGTGTTGACTGACTTTGCCTAGCAACCACTGTTTACTCGCTTTGCATAGCGACCAGCATGCTTGGACTCAGCTCACTTCGGCTCCGCTCGGAATGTCACGGCTGGCAGGGAGGGAGGGGCGTCATCCATAGTGCAACACGTCACAATATGCTGATAACAATCATACAGACAGAAATGCTACAATGCATTATACAGCATGTCTGCTGAAAGCCAGAATAGATTAATCAGAGAAGACACCTGTTGCTAAGTTACAGCACTGTGAACATGCTATGACACAATTTATCAGAGATCTGTTGCTATACAGCAGCCAGTAAGTAGCTCATAACCTCAGCGACTGTTACACATGCAACACTAGGTGGTGGAGGTGGTGTTCTTTGTTGGGTCCATGCAGAGTTGATATTAGGACAGCCAGCTGGGGCTTTCAGTTCTGAGACAGGGAGTCTTCAATCTGCACTAGCCAGTGATAGCAAGTGGTAGCCAGGAGAGGCCAGGCACGGCCGGGAGTTAATGGCCAGAGTTGCGGTCATGAGGAGCTGTGAGACAAACACTAGCCAAGAACAACGTGAACCCAGAAGTTGAGTAATCTATGGTGTTAGAGCAGTTACCAAACACCAACTGGTGAAAACACGGCAGACTGAGAAGACTTAGCGTGTGCTGTAGCTAATTGTAAAGTGCAGGAATCAGTGAAACAGTTATAATTAATTGTAATTACAGTTTTCAGAAGTCCAGTAAATCCAATTACCAATCCAAACCACATGTCTAGTCACCTTGTACGTGATGGTACTTTGTTATGAAGTAAACTGAAAATGGTTGATTGTCCTGGAAGAATACTTAGTTCACTTTATGATATATTGTACTGTGGCATCATATTGTAAGACGTTTATTGTTATTCAGTTGACACCACTCTGCTATGAAAACAACATGCATTTGCACGTACTACATATTTCGTCCTATTGAGGCTATCATGCATGGTGTAGGGGCAGTTTGAGTGCAAGAAAGAGAGATGGGACAAAATATTAATGTCCGTCTTCATGGCATAATACTTGACTAATTAAGTACAGGAACAACTTAAATAAGAAAATATTTTCTATATATGCCTCAGTATCTTTATTTTCTAGGAAGTTAATAGTCATCAAATTTGAATATAATACCTACACACTAACACACTTCTCAGAAAAATTATGCCCACAAGACTGGAGATTTTGTATACCAACTGTAATTTTTGTATGAAATTAAAGTCATTTGTTATGGCTTTCATTTATGTCTCTCACTATTGCACTTTCTTATATATGTACTTTAACATCACAAACAGGAGTTTTGAAGGATCAATAATTTTTTACATTTTCATGACATATCTGCTGTAGCTTGAGGTTGCCCCTTTCATCCCTACAGGAACATGAAGGTTCATGATCATACCTGCAGTTATACCTTATCTTAGTCATGATCACAGTCCATTCCTCTAAGACAATTAATATTACTTTCTCTTCTACATATCAAGTGTCTTCATCCTGTTGATCTTTCCATACAGGCATTTGTATACTCTCTTTTTCCCCACATATGCTCCATTTTAAGCCAATTTAAACCTGTTGGTTGAATTTTCATATCAAAAGTAGGAAAAAATATAAACTGTTCATCATTACATATTTCCCTTCAGCTCTCACTCCAACCTCATTCTTTAGCACCATAAGCATCTATGCATCTCCCAGGCTTTACACAAAACCATGAGAGAAATCACCATATTTTTAATAATTTATGCAGTTTAGCTTTAAAAAATTAAAAGCCTATTTCTTTATTTAGGAAAAGAAGTCACTGTTCAAAGCTTCTAGGGATTTAAAATTCTGCTCTTGTCACTTAGTTTACTTCACTTGCTACAGTCTTTAGATGGCAGAAACATTACATTCCTTGATTTCAGTATAATCTGTGTGTTTCAGTGATTTTTAAAACTAAGCCAGTGAGAACATTATGTAAATGTGTACAGAAAAAACATATACACTTGTTTGAGGCCTGTCAGCTTAAACAGTATCACAACCAACTTGTACTTGGATTGTACATGATTTGAATATCAGCCTGAGAACAGTTGTCTTGACTGAAGATGATTGGTTTCCCTCAAAACCTACAGATGAATGCTGGATTACAGTCACAGTCCATCATTGTTTATATGATCACCCACATGTGTCATTTGATGCTGCATAACATACACAGTTAACACATCATTGTTAAGTAAACTGTAATCTATTTATCCATATCTCACAATGATAACAATATCTTGTAACTCCTGTATTTATTTCCATTACCACTGATAAGTAATCAGTCCCTTTGTTGGCTTTCCAAATTGTAACTTTTCCATTGTTATACTTCATAAATAACTACAGTACATTTCATTTACATGAGTAATTTTTAGGGAATATTTTGTGTATATTTTTCCTTGTGTCAAATCAATAAATTGGCTGCTGCAAATATTCAGGCTTTTCATTACACTGCATGTTGCTTTGTTCTGTGTTTGTATGTAACTAGATTTTAAGGTTTTTGGTACCAAGATATGTGTATATAAAATTAAGTATCTGTTTGTAGACCTCATATTAGTTAGGCTGTGATCATTGGTTATATCCAGTAATGTTTGTTACTTACCATCAACTCATTCTGATGTAAATTTTATTGACTCTGCCATCATGAGGTCCAGAAAGCAATGGGCTACCATGGCTATTTACTTTGGCATTGTAGGAAACTCTTGTCAGGTTCAGTGATGTTTCTGGAAGTAGTTCTTTATTTCTGAAATTCAAACCAATTCAAATTCAAATTCTTGCTTTCCCTGAGAAATGTTAACAAGTATATATCACAATGGCATATCTGCTTCTTAGAAGTTCCATGGTAGAAGCATAGTCTTTCCAGTGATAATGAGTCATAATTGTTGAGTAACAGAGCCTGGGCATTTAAATATATAAAACAATGGGGAGAAGATTATTATTACAGCGTTCCATATATAATGCCTCCTATTTTTTTTAAAAGAAAACTACAACAGATACAGAAAGCATAATAATGCAGTTAAATAGAGCCGGATTTCAGCTACTTACAGTTATTTTTCCACATAATCACCACCATTAATAATAATAATAATATCTTTATTGCTTCAAGAAAAACGTACAGGCGACACAATCACCACAGTTGTAGAATCAGTCCCAAATAGTAACATATACTATAATAAAACAGTTGCAATAATACAACTTAGTCAATGCTTAGTATAATAAATCAATAATAACTAAAATATGGACATTATAAGCAATTAATAATAAAAGTATACATACATTCGTTATGCACTTTTGCCAGTGATTAACAAGAGCCTGTATGCCGCGCCAGCAGAGGCTAGGCACTTTCTTACAGCTGCAATGACAGCACCATTGTCTGGAAAATGTTACCCACGTAGTCCATCCTTCTTAGGCCCAAAGAGACGGAAGTCTGAAGGTGCTAAAGCGGGGCTATAAGGTGGATGTGGTAGGACAGTCCAGCCAAACTTGTATGGGGTCTAGTGTTATCATGTTTCAAGCAAAAGGTTGTATGCTTCTTTGGCCTGACTTGGGAAATGCGGGCTTTCAGCTTAGTCAGCATCGTTTTGTAGCATTCAGAATTGACAGTCCCTGGTGGTTATCTGCTGATCTGTACGGATGAGGCACTGTTCATTGTAAAGAGTGGCAGCTGAGCAGGGACGCCCAGGGCGTGGCTTGTCGTGCACTTCACTTTCGCCACTGTTGAAACGCACTACCCACCGCCTCACTGTGCTGACATCCACTGTATTGTCTCCGTACACCTTTAGCAAGTGTCGATGGATGTCTGTGGGTACAATTTGTTTGGCAGTGAGAAATTCAATAACACATCTATGTTTCATACGCGCTTCTATGTCAGGCATCATTTTGGTAGACTGCTCTGCTGTCGCTATCTCTCGCACGACAACCAAACTAACAGTAGATTGGCGGGAAGGTTCAACCTTTACTACAACACCACCAACATCCATCTTAGATGTTACATATTAACACAAAAAAATAGGAGGCATTATTTATGGAACACCCCTAGTAGCAAGTTATAGCAAGTAAATGGTAGGTAACTGTAATAATATATGAGCTCTGTAGTGAATGAATGTGGAAAATCAAGCAAGGATTTTGACCCATGATGGGAAATGAACCTCACAGCTCTCTAGAATGGCGGTTCCCCATGAGTTCACTACAAACAAAAATTGTTCAGGAAATTTACTGACTAAAGCTGGTGTACTGTATGGATCATTTGGATATACAGGGACTGAACAAAATAATGGAAACATTACAGATACTGTACACATTTCTTTATTAATATGGTGTTAGACCACCTTTTGTCTTCAATACAACCACAATCCTTGGAATGGACCTGTACAAGTTATGAATGATCTCTAGCAGAATTTTATACCAGTCTTTTTGGAGAACATCTTCAAGGTCATTTAGAGATGTTGTAGTTGGGAAACTGTTCGTCACTTTAGTCTCCAAAACTGACCAGGGTTGTTCAATGATGTTAAAATCGGATGATTATGCTGGCCAAGGAAGTTGTTGAAGTTACATACACATACATACATCAGCGTTTCAGAGTATTCATAAGTGTGCAACTGGCACTGAATATAAAACTTGTCAAACAACAGTCACAAGACAATCACAGATAAAATCACAGAGACATCAATTTGACCATAGTTAAAATCTAAAACTTAATGTGTATATTGATGCCTACTGTGTGACATCCATCAGTCAGCATGCACTCCCCTTCTATTCCTTAGCTGTTGATCCCCACAGAAGAGCAAAAATTCATCAACAGTATATGACAGACTATGTATTAGAACATCCCTTATTTCTTTTATAAACTCTTCTTTATCATGCACTAAGTCAGTTAAATAATCAGGCAGACTGTTAAATATTTTTATACTAATGCAGTGGACCCCTTTCTGCCTCATTGCAAGATGTGATTGTAGGACATGTAAATTTCTTTTGTGTCTTGTTGGTCTCTCATAAATTGAATAATTAAAAGTAAAATACTCTGGGTTATTTATCATAAAAGTCATCAGAGATAAAATATACTGAGAGACCAGTGTTAATATATTTAACTTTATAAGTGCTGGCCTACATGACTCTCTATGTTTCATCCCAATTATTATTCTAATAGTCTTCTTTTGTAAGAGAAAGATCTTGGCCTCTGACGAATTACCCAAAAAAACTATTTTAAGTGTTGTAACATTACTATATGTTTTCATAATTTGTATTGCATAACATGCCTTTCCCAATCTGGGTAACAGTGACTCAACCTGTGTCTTCCAATTCAAGAACTTATAAATTTCAATGCCCAAAAATTTAATATGAGTTTCCTCTTGTAATAATTCATCGTTAAACTTTAAATGTACAGGCATATTGTCACAATTGATTGTTTCAAATTTTAACACTTAGTTTTCCTCAAGTTTAGGGATAAGTCATTGTATTTAAACCACTGACTTAAGGAATTTAACATAAGTTGATAACAATTGATTGTTTCAAATTTTAACACTTAGTTTTCCTCAAGTTTAGGGATAAGTCATTGTATTTAAACCACTGACTTAAGGAATTTAACATAAGTTGATAACAATTGATTGTTTCAAATTTTAACACTTAGTTTTCCTCAAGTTTAGGGATAAGTCATTGTATTTAAACCACTGACTTAAGGAATTTAACATAAGTTGATAACAATTGATTGTTTCAAATTTTAACACTTAGTTTTCCTCAAGTTTAGGGATAAGTCATTGTATTTAAACCACTGACTTAAGGAATTTAACATAAGTTGATAACAATTGATTGTTTCAAATTTTAACACTTAGTTTTCCTCAAGTTTAGGGATAAGTCATTGTATTTAAACCACTGACTTAAGGAATTTAACATAAGTTGATAACAATTGATTGTTTCAAATTTTAACACTTAGTTTTCCTCAAGTTTAGGGATAAGTCATTGTATTTAAACCACTGACTTAAGGAATTTAACATAAGTTGATAACAATNGCTGTTTTGTATATAGGTCTTAATGAGGCAAATCTCATTCTATCAGGATATATTCCATGCTCAAAAGATGCATTAAATATGTGACACAATGGTTTACTTATCTCAGTTATACAGTATTTCAATATCTTACTAGAAATGCCATTTGCAACATAAGTATGCTCTTTATTTCCACCTCCGTTGTAGGTATTAGCCTCAGTTCAGGGAATTTATCAAATTTCAAAGTGTCTAAGAATTTAATAGCTTCATTTTTATTGACACTTTTCGTTTCCAGATTCTCAGCTACAGTTATAGAAATATTTATTGAATACTTCTACTGCTTCCTTAGTATCAGTCACTTTGCTTTTCCCCACTTTGAATTCTGTTATATATATGTTATTACCTTCATGCTTCTCAAACCATGGCTGAACAATTCCAGCTGTGTGAATGGGTGCACTGTCATCTTGGAAAAAATACATTATTGTTCAGAAATAAAGTTTGGATCATGAGATGCACCTGATTACCCAATCTGTCCACATACTCCCTTACATTAATTCGGGCACAATGAGTAATAAGGGGACCAACAAAATACTACAATATTGCTGCTGAAACCATCACAGAACCTCCCCAATTTTTCATTCTTGGAACCAGGCATTCTGGATTGTAGGCTTCCTTGGGTGTTCTTCAAACATAAACTCTTCCTGATGTAGGAAACAGCATGGGCAACTTATCTGACCATATCATGCGTTCATTTCCAATTGTCCAGGTTTCATGGTTGTGACACCATCATTTATGCATCTGAGCATTACTTTCAGTAATCAGAGGTTTAGCAATTGCTGCCCTACCATGGATGTTGGATTTGTGAAGCTCATGTCAGACAGTTTTTGTAGAATGGTCTTCAAGATGAATATTCATTGTGCTGCAGTAGTTCTGTGATTTTTTAAACAATCCTCAGTGAATGACATTCTCATTCTGTCATTGTTGATTTTTCCTCACTATTCCTCTTCCATGATATTGTCTTCCCATGATTTGTGTATGTCGACATAATTTTAGAAAATGTTGTTCTCGATGCACCCAGTAATGTGGCAATTTTTGTTGCAGATGCTCTTGCTAAACATGCACCAATGATCTGTTCTCTTTCAGAATCGGACAAAAGTCCCGTTTTCCAATTCTTTCACACAGACTGTCACTCAACAGAGTGACTAATGCATTGTTATGAGCACTACAGAATGTAAACAAATGGAAGAAAAAGATTCAGTGTTGTCAATTGAAATACTTTCAATGTAGCCAGCACAAATTGTGTTCCTCCTTTTCTTAGTGTTTCCATTATTTTCTCCACCCCCTGTACATAAAAGCTTCGGGCATGTAACTTTCACCGATGAAACATGATTTCTGAGCATGCTACATTTAATGATTACATTTATTGACTTTCAACTTAAGTTGGAATATTGTCATTAAACATGACTGAGACATCCCAAAGGTCTGATAATTCAGAGCTGTTTCTTTTTTTACCACGGCTTTAAGCCCACCAGAAGTTTCAGCAAGATATGGCACTCTTAATAAAATATGAGACTTGGATTGGTGATGCTACCCAATATGGTGGTCTCTGAGGTCATCTGATTTCATTTACATCTGGGCCATATTTGAAAAACAGTGAATAGCTAAAAGTCAAGTTGGAATGGTATTGAATAATGTAACTTCTTAAATGCTGGATTATGTGTATGATGGATCTATCTATATATTAGGTGGATAAATGAAGCACATTTCACTCAGAAGCATTTGGATGTTTGTGATTCATTTTGACCTTTAATTTAATGGTTTTACTTTTAAAATGCTAAGAGTTACTGTGTAAAAATTCTGTGCTATAAATTATGATCATATAAGGCACATAATTTTTTTCTGTGTTCTCTGTTGTATATGAAATTATAGTCATACAATTTTACAGATGGATTTGCATTCTCACAAGAAGAAGGAGGGGCAGTGACACAGTCAGAGGTTATTCGTGCATACAACACAAACCTTCCCAAACCTGGAGGCATGTGAAATGTGAACAGGAATGGAGAAGTTCTACATGAACATGGGTTTGGTATTGATTTAGTTAGCTTCCTGTTGTCTTTACATTTTCCAGAAGTGCCTATGTCACACACAGTCACCCACATACTTGCCTTGGGCAAGGAAAGGTTACATTCAAAATACAGGTCTATACTTCAGACAACATTACTTCATTGCACTTTAAGTATTTATATTTTTTATCTTACAGTCTCCTTATTGTATCAGTGTACTGTGTAATATAATTCAAACATGATTTCATTTTGAAAAATGTTTATCAGTTGTGTTGTTCTTTAGTATTTATTTTGAGGAGCTTAACAGTAATCCAACTTTCAAATCGTACTAAAGTAGCTTTCCTGAATTCACCTAAATATTTTCTTTTAACAGCTATGATCTGTTTGTGTTACAAGGTTTTCCAAACATAGTATAGTATGAACTAAAACCGAGATTGTTGTGTGAGTCATCCAGAATGGTTCCTTAAGAATAATAAGAGTGACAGTGATGACATAGTTGGCATTTGTTCAGATCTTCTCACAGTGAATGGTAAAAGAAATATGTAAGTTCTTTTTTAAAAACTAGCTCTGGACTAAGGCTGTGGAGCTAGATACATATAAATAATGTGTGTGAAAGATGTTCATATATATATATATATTATTTTTATGATGAGTGCCTTAAGGTTTGTGTAGTGCTGAAGACAATTTTCTGTTGAAATATGTCACTGTTGATATACATTAGAATTGTGTGGCCCAGACGATGCAAATTTTCTAGTCTGCAGGCATAATAATATGTTATATTATGTGTGCATACTATTCTGCATATGGCAGAATATTACCAAAGAGCAGATTGTAATTAAACTTGAATTTGTATATGTATGTATATATAAAGTGTTCAAGCTAGTGTGGAGCAATTTTGCAGTCTGTGTTTTTAGACCTGGCCATATGCATCAGAATGGCTAATGGATTTGATTGAATCCGCTGAGAATGTGTATGTACTAGTCAAAAGTGTCATCCTCTCACAATACAGCTGTAGCTAACCACTGCCGTGTTATTTATTGCTATGCTTCTCCTCATGCATAACCCATAGGCCAGGTATTAAAACACAGCCTATATCTCCATTATTAATTAAATAAGAACTAATCTAAAATCTCCCTGGAGGCAGTATGCACTCTCACTTGTAAATTACATTGGGCAGTGAACATTTATTTTGTATGTGTGGGAAAACTAAATAATGTAACGAGATATTTCTTCATGCTGCTATCATTTTCAGTGACTGTAGCATCAGAATATGTTGTAACTTTGGTTTTGTTTCTCTCTTAGTAGCTTTAGATTTGTGATACAATTGTGCTTTTTAATGTACAGGTTTGTAGAACATTGATAGTGTATGTAATTTAAGAAGTGTTTACTCTTCCCTCTCCGAGGCCTTCTGTACATAACATATGATAGTGCGTTACCATACTTTATGGACAGTTTGTTTGTTATTGAAGTTTGTGACATGAGTTAGCAGTCTGTTTCAGTACTGATTGTCAGATGTGAAAAAACTAGACCTTTATATAGAATCCCCCCCCAAAAAAATCTCTCAGAATTATGTCAAAGGATCTAGTCTTTCTTATGTTATTCATAGGATATTTAATGAAACTTATCAACTTTAGAGGTTATTATATGAGAGGACTTAAAATGGTAGTATTAATGGATGCAGGAAAAACAGTTAAGGCTAAGTTTAAAGTACTCTACCATCTCTTGATTTGCATATAACAGTGATTTTAAAATGTTATTCTGAAATACTCTGGAGATGTACTGACAAGTTATAATTTGTCACTTATGTACCATGGAATATTCTTTAAACATGCAGTCTCTTATCTATTTGTTAGAGATGGTACAGTAGCATTCTAGAAACATACAAGTATATGCTTATCAAATTTTTATGATTAATACAACAGTTTATTATCTGATCTAATAGGATGCAAAGAGGATATCCTAAAGTGCAATGCTTGATTTGCACCCTCTGTGGTGTAGTACCTGTGATTGTAACTTACTCAGGTGTCTTCAAGTAGACTAAGGAATAGTGATGCAAGGGCTGATAATCATCCCTATCTAAAGGAATTTTAAGAGACAATCAAATGTTCTTGCAGCTAAAACCAAGAGCGCTTTGGTAATGCTCGCTCTTTTACCAAATAATGATCATATAGTAATTACTCCAGGTTATATGGGATTGACTAAGTTTATACTATTAGATTGGTATGTTAATTTTCCATGAGCAGGATGTAACATTAGTTTTACTGATGCTGAAATCATGCAGTTGTCAGTGCTCCAACCTCATACAAAATCAGTCTCAGACTGTAGTAGACTACAATCTTTAGGACACTTAAGGGCATGGTAAATTTTTATATCAGCATACCTAGAGAAGTTACTTGAATGATGTAAGTCATCAGTAAACACATTTGAAAACAGAGGCCAGGACACGTCCTTGATGAACACCAGAAAGTATTTTAAAGACAATGAAAGAGTTCCAGAAACATGGAGCTGTGATTTCCTGTTGGTTAGGTAACTGCAAAATCAGTTTACCTGACCACGAGAAAGTCCAAAATAAATGGCAACAGCTTGACAGTGAGAACCAACTAAAGATTTGATAAAATAAGAAAAAGTTACGAGATTAGTGATGGTAAATCAAGATTTAGTAAAACTGTGCTGGCATAAATTTAAAGTAATGTGAAAAATGGTCATGAATAACAAATTCAAATAATTTGAAAGAATTGTTAAGAATAGAGATTGGTCTGTAATTACTAATGGAAGCACTACTGTCTTTCTTAAAAACAGGAACAACTACTGCTTGCTTCCATATGGTAGGGAGATATTGCCAAGGCAAACTTATATTAAAAAAATATGTTTCAAAACAGGTGTAAAGGTATCAGAACAATGCCTAATAACAAAGCTAAGGATGTTATCAAGACTGACAGATTTTGATGGCCTCAAATGTTTAAAGGCTGTAAAAACATCTGAATCATAAATAGAAGCTAAATGTAAAAATTCAGAAGATAATGGAAGGAAGGACCTGAACAAGGGTTATTATATAATTACTTACTTATGGAACCGAGCCCTTCTTGAGCAGAAGCCAAATCTGCAGCTACTCAAGAATTTCCCAGCATTTTATGGAACCCGAAGGTTCATTACCATGTTCACAAGAGCCCTCCACTTGTCCCTATCCTGAGCCAGATCAATTCAGTCCATACCATTCCATCCTATCTCTCTAAGATCCATTTTAATATTGTCCACCCACCTACACCTTGTCTTCCCAGTGGTATGTTTCCTTCTGGCCTTCCCACCAATAGCCTATATGCATTCCTCTTCTCCCCCATTCGTGCTACATGCCCTGCCACCTCATCATCCTTGATTTGATCATTCTAATTATACTTGGAGAAGAGTACAAATTATGAAGCTCCTCATTATGCAGTTTGCTCCAACCTCCTGTCACTTCATCCCTCTTCGGTCCAAATATTCTCCTCAACGCCCTGTTCTCAGACACCCTCAGTCTATGTTCCTCTTTTAATGTCAGTTTTACACCCATACAGAACCACAGGCAAAATTATAGTTTTGTATATTCTAATGTTTGTGTGTTTGGACCGCAGTTGAGAAGACAATAGGTTCTGGACTGATTGGTAGAAAGCATTACCTGAGTTCAATCTCCTCTTAATTTCCTCCTCAATCAGGTTTTGATTTGTTATCGTTGTTCCCAAATATCTGAACTGTGCCACATTTTCAAGACATCCGTTTCCTATCGGTATGTCATGATTTTGCCCTGCATTTTGGTGACGACACAGCAACTAATGCATGAAAATATTTAGCAAATATGTTAACAACATGTCTGACCAAATGAGTGAAAAGTAAAAAAAAAAGTAAATCTATCCCTGTACCAGGCCATGAAGGCCCATATGGTTGTGAGACGTTGAGGGTCCCACATTATCTAGACAATCAGCTCAAATATGGCGGTTAGGTTGTCAGCCTTACGCGCCGGCTGCGCTTTACTCCCCAGGAAAATTATTTAATTAATTCCTGACACTCATTTCTGCTAGAGGCTGAGTGAACCTCAGGGCTGTAGTGTGGCTACAAGGATTAGGTCAATTGAAAAAAATCCAGTGACCCCATTGGGACTTGAATCCATGACCTTCCGGCTTGTAGCATAGCCCCTCAACGAACTATGCTACCACGTGCCCCTGACCAAATGAGTACCATTAATAATAATTCAATTCAATTCAATTCATGTTCATTTACACGTAAACTTAACAGCACAGAGGCGAGTTACAAAGTTAGCTTGAGTACTTAGAAATACACAAAAAGAATTAAAAAACAAAATATGACAGTCTATATAATGGCAATAAATTAATAATTTATTGCCATTATATAGACTGTCATATTTTGTTTTTTAATTCTTTTTGTGTATTTCTAAGTACTCAAGCTAANGTTTCGACTATTACAGCCATCATGAGGCAAACACATGATTACCATATTCAAGCACTACTGAAATGATATTGCGATAGTGAAGCTGGATACTTGATAATTATTAAGCTAATTTTAGCCTTGACTATGTATTGTATTGTTGTGTTGTGATGGACTCTAATAAAGAATTGTATATAATAACACAACAGGTTGCACAAAATGAAAATTAATAATAATAATTGCAAGAAAAAATGAAGTTAGTGTTAAGAGGTGAGAAAAATAATAAAAGTATACTTCCATTGGTTATGCCATTTTGTGGTGAGAAAGGACAATATGCATACATACACGCATAGAAGTTAATAATAATAACAATAATTCAATTAATTTTTACTAATTTGTGTGTTGGCACAATATCCAATATAATTAAATTCACTGATATGTTGGGTTTTTGGACTTTATCCATCGTCCTGGTTTTTAAGATAACAAAATAAAAACACAACGTTTCAGAAACTGGATCTGTTTCCATCCTCAGGTGAAGGAAAACATCTATTCAGTTGGGTCCGTTAGAAAGAGCAGATCCAGTTTCCGAAACATCGTGTTTTTATTTTGTTATCTTAAAAACCAGGACGATGGATAAAGTCCAAAAACCCAACATATCAGTGTGTTATACACCATCATCAGAATCCTATAGTAACTAATTCAATTCAGTTCTTTATTATTTATGTGCTGAGTCAACAGCCGCAAGGCCAATTACAGACAGAGAACACTGAAGATACAAGTGATTACATTATGGACATCACAACATAAAGTCAAAGACAAATTATAGGCAAACACTGGAGGAAAAACACATTAATGCAGACAAGTAAACAAACAATAATAATAATAATTTCATTAACATACACAGTGTGTCCAGGTTCTGTTAGGACTGTGTTCATTAGAAATACAAGACGTGAATTATTTTCAAAATTTCACTCTTTTTATTCAAAATAGTCTCCTTCTGAATCAATCAGTCACTGTTCTCCTTTTGTGGAATCGCATTTAAACTGCGGTACATTCCCTTTGGATGTTCTCGATGGTGTCGTGATGGTCTCCTTTCATTGCCAACTTAACCTTTTGGAGCAACCAGAAATCTGCTGGAGCCAAATCTGGCGAATACAGAGGATGATCAAGGACTATGATCCCTTTTCTGGCCAAATATTGTGCACGATCTTCAATTTGTAGTGTGGGGCATTGTCGTGGAGGAGCAACCAGGAACCTTGCTCTCGATATTCAGGTCGAATTCGAAGAATTCTTGCCCACAAACCATTGAGGACTCCAAGATAATAATCATAATTCACTCTTTGACCTTCTGGCAGAAATTCCTTGTGATTGAGTCCTTTGGAATCGAAGAAAACAGCAGTGTCTTTACTCAACTCTTTTGCTTGCGCATTTTCTTTGTTTCAGCTTCTTTGGGCTCAACCACACTGCACTCTGCCACTTTGTGAGAGGCTTATATTGAAAACACCATGTCTCGTCACCAGTAACATTCGATTTTGTAAATTTTGTATCACTTTGGGCCGACCGTAACATGTCTTTGCAGTGTTCCACTCTGGCATGTTTTTCATCGCCTGACAGCGTGTGTGGTAGAAACCACACACAGACCTTCTGTTTGCCCAAATCCTTGGTCAAAATTTGATGCACAGTAATTTTTGGTATTCCCAAAAGGTCCTCGATGTGTCTTGCCGAAACATACCTGTCTGATGCAAGGATTTCGGTCACTTTTTCACATTTTCTTCAGTGCGACTTGTTTTCGGCTTTGATGCATGTGGAGCATCTTCAGTGTCCTCCCTGCCGTCACGAAATACAGCATGACATAAAAATATATTCAAGCGACTCAAACAGTCATTACCATACAGACTTTTCATCATTTTATATGCTTCTCCAGCTATTTTGCCTAACTTCAAGCAAAATTTGATGTTGGCTCTCTGTACAACCACTATTTTCCGACGAGCGTCAGAACAGTACTGTTACATTCAAGGTCAGAACACATATTGCAGTAATGCTTGCACTTTGAAATTATAGACAACCACAGCTGAGACTTCGCCAGCAGATGGCATTGCTGGGTAAAATTTAAAAAAATGAGTCCTAACGGATCCTGGACACACGATGTAAATCATAGTTGTTATGTAAACAGAAATGAAATGTATAAATATTTAATTGTGAACTGAAATAATAATAATAATTCATTTCAGTTCTTACTTATTTATGTGCTGCCTTAACAGCCCAATGGTCAATTTTGAAGTGAGCATGACTAAAGAAAGATAAAGAAAACAGCCACAAACAAAATACAAAAAAAGGAATATAAGCCATTTGACTAATGATGATGGTGGTGATGATTTATTGATTACATGCTGAGTGTAACAGCCAGGAGCCAATTATAGAGTTAGCACAAATGCAAATTAACATCATAAACAAACGTGGACAAAAACAAAGAAACAAACAATAAATGCTATATGAATTATAAGTTGTTAACAGTGATACTAATAATAATAATTCAGTTTAATTCAGTTACTTATTTATTTTTGTGCTGATCTCAACAGACAGTTGACAGTTACAGAGTCATCACAAATAGAACACAGCAGAAGCAGTAAGACAAAGGAATTGAATCAGTCAAGTTATTTACATTTCAACTGTGCATGACAGATGGAGGCATCAGTACACCAGAGAAATGTACAGAAGCCTGTCGGTTAGGTAATAACTGACCAGAAAATAATCCATAATTATTAAGTTTATGAAACACCAGTGCATGCATTACTAAAGTCAAAATAAGTAGTCATTTTGACCTTATGAATAAACTAAAGGGGTAACAAAGTCAAGGAGTGTGACAGAATCTGTAATAGTAGATACTGATTTGATGAAAGCATGTTGGAAAGGCTTTAATTTTAATTTTAAAAAGTGAGAAACATGGTCAGGTATGACAAATTTAAACAAACTGGGACATTTGTTTAAAATATCTGTGGGCCCATATTTACCAGCAGAGGAACTTTTCCATTATTGAAAATGGGCAATTGCTGCTTGCTTCCACAAGTTAGGTAGTATTCTGAGATAGCTGAGATTAAAAATGAACTTGAGAGCAGGAACAAAAATTTCAGAACATTTTATAACAGAACAAGGTATACCATCATATCTGATTTCAATGGCTGCAGTGGTTTTAGAGCATTCTGAATATCAAAGTTAGAAATATAAGCTAAAAACTTCCATACATTTATTAAGAAAAGAAAATGTTCCAGAACAAAAACTATTGTAAAGAGATTGAAAATGTTTTGAAAGGGCCTCAAGTAATCAGTATTATTTTTCCTAAATTTTAATACATACTTCTGAAATTACTTATGACAAGATTTTAAATCTTCATCAGTGGATTTGAACCACCAGTATCTGTCAAGACTTAATGGTTGTTTTAATCAGTTTCTGGTAAAAAATAAAAATTTGTCATAAAATCATCTTAAAAGTTCTTTTAATATCTGTCAAAGTAGCAGTTCTTTTTAATGTCAAATTTTAATTTGACACAAATCCAATGAGGATATTTATGCTTTTTACTGTACCCAAAATGAATAGCTAAATGTATAGCTTGGGTTACAGTTAACACTTAATCTTTCATGGCAGCATCAAAGATGTTTTGTTATAAAGTGAGGGTCAGTCATTAGTAGACAAGGCATTGTAA